GTGTGAGTGCTGGAGTATTTAGGTATGTGGCTGCAGCAGCACGGCTGTAAAATTGCAGTTGTCCTTTTCTGTACAAAAAAGTCTACGACCCTTCTTCTCTTATTGTTGCCATCGTCATTGCTGCGTGTCAAATTGTTTGTGATTTGCGCTGAAACAATGTAAAATTGCAACTTAAAAGTTGTGCGAAGACAAGTAGTGTGGTTTCAAAACTTAGTCGAACTAGTTTCATGTTATCTTTGTTTTTGTTTTGTTTTGTACGTTTTCTAAACTTTTGAGGTTGATTTGATCGTTCGGAAAACTCAGTTTAAGCAGTTTAAATTTTATACCTTAAGCTGTTTGAGTTTAAGTCTATTTGTGCTATATACCATGCATGTATTTATCATATATCCGGAAAATTTGGAAATTTAAAATGTTAGAATTAGCAGTTGAAAAATAACCTTTTCTTTTATATGCATTATATCAGCTCGTATTATTTTAAGTTTCTAAAGAAATTTGTAAAGTTTTTATATAACAGTGGTTTGTTAGAAGTGATGTTACTGATAATGTTTCGTAAGGGATCATATTCATGAAACTGAGATAAGAAAGACATTTTATTCTTAAAGTTCAATAAGGAAATATTTCTATTTTATTTTTTTTTTTTTAAATATTTACTACATTTAATAACCAAACCAAGCAAGCCGAAGTGGCATCTACCAATAGCTATTAACCGGGGTAATATTTTATATAACTGCGAAACAGACGAAGTGAATAGGATTTCGAAGTGTCCGTCCTACGAAAAGTGGGGAGATTCATCCAAAATTTGGCTCCAAGTATAATACCCTCATTCATCCATTGTTGTGTGAATCGTTATTGCTCACTGGCTAATAAGTGGGTAAATTATATTCATTTGTCATTTGGGTAATCGATCATCAAGCAATATGACGGATTTTGTTCCACACACTTCCGATTTGCTTCAAACTCGGTTTATTTATTTTTCGTAGATATGATCTGTCAAAGTTTGGATATTTTCATGAATCCGGCAAAACATATACTCACTCAAATCGGTATATCTCGGCTTATGCTGATTGTACAGATTTCATCTTAACACCAAAAAATAAAATATCCTTATTTCGTGACTCTTAATTCTGTTGACTCTTCGTGCAAAGAAGAAGGTTTTGCAACTAATTCATCTGTAGATAAAGGAATCACGCAATGGAACTTCAAAGTTCGTTCAAACCATTAATAGTTAAACAAAACTGTGGAAATTAGCCAGTTTGCCTATTTGATTCTACCAATTATGCAATCACAGCCATTTGGCGGCTTTAATGAATTTCAGTACGTCATACAGAGGGAGGCAGCTGCACTCAGAAATATTCTGCAGGAATGGTTGGCAGAGTGTCTTTAGCCAAATCCTTGCGAGGGCTGTACGCTCGCACAGGAAGTGTTCGTGCCCGTTTAATCGCAACAGAATCGACAGAACCTATTAAAGTATAAGCCAACACTTTTGTCCTGTACCGCAACGGGCTAGTGCCCTGTACACACTGCAATAAGTTTGTAGGCATCTTCTTTGCTCATTCCTAAGAGAGTTTTGGTTTTTAGTGGGCCGTGGGACATCCAGAACTGCCGCGTAATCCTGTGCGATCCTGTACGGTTCCACCCCTGTCTGGCCTTCAAATGATACATTCCGGTAATTTTTGCTTTTATCTCCCTGTGTAGGCCCTTCACCGCGCGGGACATAAGTGCGGAACCGCACCTTGCTAGTTGATCCGCTACCATAAATGTCCATATGTCCCGGGACCCATATTATGGTAATTTCATATTGATTAGAAGGCCAGCTTTCTCCTACCGTCCTCCACTAGTCGAGATCTAACAGAGGTAAAAGAGAGCGCCTAGCTATGCAAGAATGTATCCACCTGCCATCTAGCGGGTACATTCTCTTTGATTTACCTTACTGCCTGCTTAATTACAAACGTTTTGGCCTGGAAAACGCTTGTATAGTCTGGCAGGCTAAACGATAACTTTAGGTTACATGAAACCACTGTGCCAGCCTTCAACGGTCTTTCCTGCCAGAGCCCCAAGGCATGCAGTCATATGTCGCTGTTAGCAGCTGAGTTTTCAATACAAATATCTATCGGCAAAAAGCCAGCATCTGCCGACCCTTCAATTGCGCTTAGTTTTTTAACTACATAGGAGAGTATAGATCGGACTATAGCTGTATACATCCAGTGCGAAATTCTTTGCTCAACGTTTGGCCTTCAATCAAGTTTGGCATCCGGAATGACTTCAAGGTCTTTCAACTTGTTTCACAGATCCAATTCCGTTTCTTGAACTTTGGTTCAGTAAAATCAGACAATTTTGTTTTATTTGTTGAAAGTATTAGATCAATTTTCTCAGGGATTACGCGCGCGGTAAAAACGGAAATTTTGGATTTCCTCCTGAGAAACTGGCGTACTAGGTCTCAATTTTTTACAAATTTCAAAGAGGTCCCGCACATTACAATGTGGTGGAGTTGCGGCATAATTGGACGAAATAAAATGGTGTTTGTACAAAATGCGTCTTTGTGGCATAGTTTTAGGCACAGTATCTGCACTTATCTGAATTTATGTTCCAAAATTTCTCACCTCCAAAAATCTGCCGCCCATTGCAAGTGCACCAAAAGTACCTAATGTAAATCCAAGGCTGGTAACATGCCTCCGTAACTTTTCTAATAGAAAGATTACAAAATGTATAACTAACAGAAGTTGTACTATGAAATTAAGCGACGTGCATAATTTTTAATGAGTAAAAATTTATAACATGTCTGAGCTTTCTTAAACATGTTTCCAGCAAAGTCAAAGCAGCCAAGAATCTGGAATATTTTTAATTTGTTTTCATCTCAAATTCCCGCGTGTAAGTCATTCGGCAGTCACCCCTTTCATAACGCCTATTTAATACATTTGTGGCTAATTGTTAACACAAAAAAAATTTTAATGGAAAACTTGTACTTTTAATTTATATCCGGTAATATGATTAGGTACCCATTCACATAAACTTTGCCAAGAATGGGAGACCACACTTCCACATACATATTTATATACATACATACATACACATGCATATGTTTAATGTAAGCAACGCCTGAAACATTGAACTTCGCCACAGCACCCCCTGCCAATTGTTATGGCACAGTTACAGCTACTTTGCTTTGCTGTTGCTAACAAGGATAAATATCAACACCCCCAATTGGCACTTATCAACAGCAAAACGCACATATGCCAACAAGGGGTGCCCTAGCGAATTTGCTTAAAATGCCGCCTGAGGGCAGATGTAATTGTGGGCGGGTAATCACAACAAAGTGCAACAAGAAAAAACAAATGCAATTAAGCATAAAACGCGCCGTTATCCTGGGGAGGGGGGCGTGTCACAACATACCAATCCCGGTAAGTATGTATGTATGTGTGTAGATTGATAGCACTTGCATCTGTGCCAGAGCTTAGGTTGTGTATCCCTGTCCCGGTCCCCGTTTCTATTACGTACGACGTGGGTCGTTAAAACTCACCGAATTTATTATGCAAGTTTATGCCACAATAACGCAAAAGGTCGTGCCATATTGTGTCCCTGAGGGCTTTACATGATTTTCATGACTCTTAAATGCTATGCACCTGTCCCCTCATCCGCAAGACGAAGAAACATTTTGCAACAAAATTAAATCGAATTTTAAAGTCGCTCGCATAAATTTAGGGTGCTGAGAAATCAGAAGAGGGTCGATAACTTTAGAGGGAGTGGCATATTTCAGGCATAAAAATACATATGTACATTAGGGCGGTCCTTAAAAAATCAAATTAACGATTTTTTCAGTCGCACCCCCTCAAACACGCTCACAGTTATCACATATAAATTTTTGTACCGATTGCAGACAGTTAAGACGTCTTCATAGAGGAATCTGAACTTTCCCCCCTGCGCGACACGCCTTAACCGACTGAAATCAGCACCAAAATTTATATGGGATATCTTCGACATTAATAGTAGCATCGACGTAGGGGTTGAGGCCTAAAAAATCTGATGTAAAAATTTGCTTCCTACACTTAATGACCACCCTAATGTACATAGATGAAGTAGCTAGCAATCGCAATAAGTCGCTCCACTCTGCTTTCAACACACACACACACACACTAATTCGTTTCGTTTATTCTCTTCCTATTCCTTTGCAGATTCGCCACCGACTTCATCGATGTGCGCGAAAAAGAAACCCGTCGCGGCACACGCGGTGCTGGCAATCCGGAGCGCAAGCGTGGCGGTGGACGCTTCCATCAGCGTCGCAATCAACAAATGCAGGCCATGCAAGCCGATGATGCGTCCGCTGTAGGAGCGACGACAACAGGTAGAACATCAGCAGTAACAACGACAACGACAATGCCAACTGTAACAACAACAACCAGCACAAAGTCAGAATCAAGCCGAACATCAACAACGACGCAATTAGACGTGCTTGCAGGCGGCGCAGCTGGTTCGACAACAAATGAACACATCAACAGCGACAACAAAGCCAAAGACAAAGACAACATTCAGCAACAGCAGCTAAATTCCAATAAAACTGCCGGTGTTGATGGCTACAACAACAAGAACAATACCCAGACGGTTAATAATACCAACATGTCAACAACAACAACTTTGACGGGTTCCAAGGATACTGTCACACAACCAACGAAGGATCCACCAGCAACAGCGACACAGAAATCTTCGCCAAGCAGAAGTGGCAGTAACAAAAGCAACAATAAGCAAGAATCAAACCGTAATGCTGACTCCTACGAAGACGACGCGGTTGGACGCATCAAAGCGGAAGATTTATTAGAGTTGCAGGAGCGCATCGCAAAGGAAATACTCAATTCGAAATTGCAGGGCAAGGAAATGTTGGAATTACAGGTAAGGCAACAGTGAAGCAGTCAAGCGTTTTGGGTAGCTCGTAAACAGGCGAGTTAGTCAGTCGTATGAAGGCGGCAAACAATGGACGCCCCTAAAGGGGTCGAGTACATACTATTTTGTATCTCAGTGTGCATTCAAGCGTAGGTACATACGCGCACATATATTCTAGTTCCACTAATCCAAGTGGCATGTTCTAACTGCAGCCGGGACGTAGCAGATATGCTTGTTAAACTACAATGTCGCTGCTTTTGCATTCCGCCGAGGGTCGATTACTCGTAGACCGGCGCTAGTACATTGGGGCGACAATGATGACTGCTGCTGCAGTCGGGTAATTCGTTTAGTAGTGACACGCCGCCTTGTAAGCGTAATTGTCGGCACTGGCGGCCCAGCTGTGCGCGAAAAAGTTCATTAGCGCAGAAACAGCAGGTGCATATGGCAGGACGAGTACTTGTACGGCGTGATAGCGCAATTAACGGAGGGGAGACTTTATGTATGTATGTATGCGCATAGGTATATGCAACGCTTAGCAGAGTTTAAGAAAGTTTAAGGCAGCAAGAAGTTTGGATATTTGTTTAAAGTTTAGAAAAAAGTGCAAGAAAAATGGAATTAGACACACAATTTTTAGGAGCTGCTCTGTGGAAGTTTCAAAGTTGAAATTTCAGCTGAATTCCCTCTTCGATGTACATATGTGTGCATAATACGAATTTAGGGCTTTTGTTATACAACTTTTTTTGAAAATTCCAGTCAAAGCTGAACTAAAATTTAATTTATTCAAGCTAGTTTAAGTATGGGACAAAACGAAGTATCTCCTGTTATCACACAGACAGTCAGAGCTTAAGCATTTTGGCACCCACGTCACTGTTGACAGTTACAAGTTTGAAAACGCAGACGACTTCGTTTATTTGACAACCATAATTAACACCAATAATAATATCAGCCTTGAAATCCAACTGAGAATCATTCTTGCCAATAAGTTCTACTTTGGACTGAGTAGGCAATTAAGAAGTAAAGTCTTCTGTGATTATACAAAAATTACCCTCAATACATATATGTATGTCACTCACCATGCCTGGCTGGTGTATGATGCGCAGACATGGAAAATGAAAGCTTCTGATAAAGCGGTAGTTTTCGAGGGAACGATAAGCTGTACAAGCTTTGCAACGACCTAGCCATAGTGCAGAGAATTGAACGATTGATCGATTGGAGAGAAACGCTGCAGCTCTAAATGTACTCAACCCGGGTGACGATGCTGGTAACAGAGTAAGGCCTCCTCTGCGTTGGAAAGACCAGGTGAAGAAGGAATTGGCTTCACTTGGCATTTCCAATTGGCGTCAGTGGGCATAGGAGAGAATCGACTGGCGTACTATTTTAGACTCGGCAAAAATCGCTAAGGCAGGTAGAGCGCCAATAAAGAGAGTACTTATGGCAGAAAAAGGCCACTGCAGAAAAGGCAGTCTACTGGCTACGCACCAGTGTATTATTAGAGTCAAAGTATCTACTTTGACATCCAAACGGAAATCAAGGCACTAAGATCCCTTAAGAAACTAAAAAAACTTGTAATTATGCTTATTTTGGTTACCAGTTACAGTGACATTGCAGAAAACTACATGGCGAAAAAGCTAGCTAGTCAATGTAAAGTAACCTGTGGACAATTGGAATTGTAGTAAACACACCGAACGTTAGGTAAAAGTCCCGACATGCAAGGTTGCAAAGTCCTTTTGGCCTGTAGTCGACTGCGGGCGGTCAGAGGAGCTGCTCCAACTGGATTTTACCAGGTGTCCTTACTGACCAAAGTCCAATAGGAACGCTTTTGAAATAAATTGAGCAATCAAAATTTTTATTTTGTTTACTAAGCAAATACCTATTTTTCGGCTTTTGCAAATTAAATAAGTTCTCTGCAAGAAGGTTTGCTAAAAAAAAATGGACATACATATATGATATATGGTGAAAAGGAATATCACTTTTCCCTTACAGTTAACCGTTTAGTGTGGGCAACAATGATATTTTTCAAATAAGGCAGATCGGAATATGCGCTCTTTGGGAAGACAATACCCTTAATTATTGTACCATGACTAGACACGAATAAAGGTGCGCGAAAAAGTATGCTTAAAAAATTTACGAAAAAATATGCTTAAGAAAAACTTCGGCGAAGAAACAATGGCTCCCCAAATGCATTTTCAGTATTTTTCACTTTAAGTTTTGCAAAATGTCTCCTCCCATAATTTTGTGTAGAATACTTGATCTCCAGACTACATAGGTACCATATTGTCGCCACTTTGCCGGTCATCGCTTTGAAATAAATTCTCAATTTTACCTTTGTCTACATTGATTTTATTATTGCCTTTTTATGTCCAACATTTCTGGCATTACACAACCTTAAATGCAATTTTTCCTTTTTTTACTGAACATTTTTTTTTCTCTTTCTTTTCACCGGTTTTACAATGCACTTTGGCACTTGGTTTACTGCTGCCGCTACGAATGGTGGTCTCGCCGTTGTCATCGTTTATGTCGTCGCCGCTTGCTGCTGGCTTGTGTGTTGCCAATGCTGATGTCCATCTTGTAACTATGTACCATCGACTTTATATATATAATGCTGCTGTTGTTGCTAGGAGAAAATCAATCGTGAAATTCTAAACACAAAGGTGTTCAATATAGATGCTGGCGGCGGTAAACGTAAGCGTAGAAGACGTAAAAATCAGCGCGCTGTCAATGGAATGGCAAACGATCAGCAGGCAGATGCCAATGTCAATGGCGCTGGCGGAGATGGTGTGGATGTTGGCGGTGGTAATGGTGGAAAATGGAGGAACAGCATCACGGCCAAGGCTCGCAGCTTAATGAATTTACACAATAACGAAGCCGGCAGGAGGGTAAGTACTTGATACTCTTAAGAAAGGAATAAAAAGCATACGTTAATAAATACACATACATATATATACGAGGGCAGTCCCAAAAGTAGCAAAATACGAATAGTCAAAAAAATTTATTACTGTGAATCATCTTTCAAAATTCTAAATTACAAAAATTTGATAATGCTATGATAAATAGCATTTTTTAAACAGCTATTCAAATTGAATGCTCTGAGCGAGTTTATGAATATGGAAAAAATAGGTCATCGTTCTGCGATGCAATGGTTTATTATTGGATATCTGAGTGTAAGCGAGGTCGTAAGAGCTGTCAAGAAGAAATAAAGTCAACAAATCCATATTGGATGACCGGCGACTAAAAATGTCTGCTATCTTGACATGACAGACGTTTAAAAAGGTGATGTGCATCGAATATTGACCAAAAAACTGCATTTAAAAAGCTTCCGTCCGATGTTTCCATCGAGTATTTGGCATTTTTTTTTTTGCTTGCATTTGCAGAACTTCGAATTGCTACCAAATCTGAAAAAATTGTTCGGTCATAAGAGGTTTTTCAACAATGAAGAGCTAGAATCTGCGAATAACAAAATGGGAACAAAAGTCTCGGAACGTTCTTGCAAAGAGCGAAATTGGAACAAAAGACTAAGGAACTTTCTCGCGACGGACAATTTGGGAACTAAAGTCTTCTTGATAGAGAACAAAACGGGAACAAATCTTATCTCAACACGAAGAATAAAAGCGAGAACAAAATTTTTTTTCAAAGTGCTGTATTTGTTTGAAATGTTTGAGTATTAAAATTTATCAAAAAAGAACTGAAAAATAATTTTGCAATTTAAGTCAACGAACGACTTAAGACGCGAACCTTTCTTGCACAGAGTATGAAAATGTTTTCCATAAATGAAGAGATCAGCCTAACGATAAACGATCCGGAAGTTGAAGGTGACAGGTAATAAGATCAACGGAAATAAGGTCAATTGACTTTATTTCCCACCCTGGTGACCTTATTTCCGTTGATCTTATTACCTGTCACCGAAGTTGAAATGATTTAGCTTTCCTCTGACTTATAGTTGAACAATCATGATTCTCACTGAAACAATTTTTTATCCCAACACGCAGATGCTCCTCTCATTCTTAACGTTAAGTTCTCAAACTATTATTCTCGGTTTGTTCTCTAGCAGAACGCTCCCCAGACTTTTCTTCTTATTTCATCCTGCTTGAAAACGTTCTCGATAATTTCGTTGTTATTTCGTTCTTAACGGAAACGTTGGCGAAAGTTTCATTCCCATAATGTGTTTATTGAAAACGTTCTTGAGAGATTTGTACTCATTATATACTTTTTGAGAACGTTCCAGAAAATTTGCATTTTTGAGCTGTTTATGTTCCCGTTAAATCTGTTCTCAATACTTCTGTTCCCGTAAGGCTCTTTTGCGGGAACGTTTTTGACATTGAATTTTCTTCTCGTGCAGAACTAAACCCAAACGGGGCGCGTTCTCGGAGCGGCTTTGATAAGCTTGGCGGTGCTTACTATAAAGCAGGCATAGAACAGGGTTGCCACTGACGAAAAAAAATATTTACCATCCACTTGAAAAAAATCTACCAAATCTGGGAAATATCTACCAATAACTTTTTTATAACTATTTTAATAAAAACTATAGTTTTGTTATTTTTTTATTTATTTTAATTAAAACTATTTTATTTTTTTATTTTTTTTAGTTATTTCAATAAGAATTAAAATTGTTTTCAAGAACTTTTTATTTAACTAGTTATACGGTATTTGAGTCATATTATTGTCATATTCTAAGTTTCATTCAACCAAAAGCGTAAGTGATGAAAACAAAGGCAACAATGAAACTTCATTATTTGAAAACTTCAACTCGAGTTATTATAGACAAATACAGTGACTCAAAAAAATGATTTTTTTTTTAATATTCGCAATATTTTCGAGTAAATTTTTTTTATTGCTTTAACTAAATCCATAAAAATCGAGAATTCAAACTATATACAACATATAGAAAAATTCCAAACATTTTCGTCTAAATTTCGAATTGTTTACTCTGAATTTTTAGAGCAATTTAAGGTATGGAGTTTTAAAGCAAATACTATGTGAGTATAGCCAAAAATGTGCTGCTTAAAATTCCCGTTGATTTTTTTATTTTTTTTCCATCGATAGAAAATGGCGTTGATTTAATTTTTTTTGCGAACAGTCATAGTGCGTAATTACATACCTGTGAAATTTTTTTTTATATTTAAATAATGATTTAAAATATTTAGGCAATCAAAAGCTCCTCCGGATTCCAGTAAAATTAGTTTTGAATAGAGCGCGATATCTTCGCCTTATATCGATATACATTTATACGTATGTAGTTATATAAAAAGTATGCAAAGAAATTTATAATATATTTAAAGATAACTACGAAAAATAAATCGGGAACGGAAAGTTCATCAAAAATTTACCTTTTTACAAACCCAAATTTTTTCTACCAATTTTGGTAACAATTTACCAAAGTGGCAACCCTGGCATAGAAGCTATTCAACGTCTTTGGGAAAAGTGTATCCAGCTAAAAGATATTTTCGAAATAACTTTTTTGTTTTCTTTGTTAGGGCGAGTACTTCCAGGACCACCATCGAATATATTTTCCTCGGTGTGAATTTTTTGTAAGCATTTTAAAAGTCAAGCAAACTGTTCAAAACGCCCAGCTGTTGCAAATGAGCCGGAAAAAATACGTATATGTATGTATGTACCTATGTATATTAATTTCCAGCAAATAATTGCATAACTTTTACTCTTCAAATGGGGAACAATTAAAAAAGTGTCATAAAAAGTTTTACTTGTTTTTTTTTCAATAAATGAAATACATTCTAAAGCGCTCATAAAAACGCAACTACTATGCAGGGCAAATGAGTGAAAGAAAGTGTGAGTGTTTTTTTTGCGCTCACGGTGTGGCATGTTAATTTGTCAGTAGAGCAAGCGGGAAATTGCAAATTAAAATCGAAATTCATTTGACGTTCACTTATGGCCAATTTAAAAGCACAAATGTTGGCTGCCAATGAAGCCAACATATTGAAGAGGTGCACGTATTTATGTATATGGATAAGCGTACCTACATATGTATGTAGGTATGTATGTACAAAGCAGTTCCAGTAGCAATGGCCCATGAAATTTAATAAACATTATCAGTTTTATAGTTGGAGTTTTTGTTTTTGTTGTCGTGTTACATATTGGCTAGCTTGCACCGATTGGCAATTACATATACTTTTTACATCCTTATTGCATACATATGCACATATTTACATCTCGTTCGGCTATTCAACAAATCTGGCCAATCAACAGCAACATGCCTGAGGCAATTAGAGTCTACGTTGATTTCCTGGGTTGTAAATTGAAAAGCGTGAAACCAAGGACAACGACCGTCGTTGGCGATTGCCATATACATACTAGTTATTTGTTTTATAGGGAAAAAGGTGATATCGCTGTTAATAAGTGCATACATATTTGTGTACATGTGTATTTATTGATTTCAAAATTTTTAACAAAAAAACAAGCAGGGACCGTAACAGTTACAACTTTTATTTAAAAAATCACTATTTAACAATTATTTTTTGACTTTTATTTAATTACTCCTTAAATAACAGTTTTTTCTGATTTTTATTTTATAAATCCAAAATAACAATTATTTTTGAGTTGAATCTAAAAAATGTGCAAATAACAGTTATTTTTGATTTTTAAATTATATATCGTAGATAACAGTTACTGACTTTTATTTTCAAATCATACTTATGAAAGTCATTTGTATTAGTCGTAGTAAATTTTGG